CTTTAAGTTGTTTTATGGCTCTGTAGATGCAGTCTATTTGTGTTTGTAGTGTTATTGTTTAAGTTCACAAAACTCAAAGAATACAATCTGAAATTGTTGTCTTTAAGTAATTTTGTTATGATTTTACCGCTCACTTGGAACAGCAGCTAATTTGAAGTCCAGGAACAACCTGCGGGTTGTTGTTGACTAACAATCAACAACTGCATATGCTCCAGAAATAGTGAGCCCTTACATAGACACACAACTAGCTTCTCACAAAACCCTCACTACAGTACCCTACCCTGAGCTAAAATGAGTTTGACTCTCCTGATATACTTTTATGATGTGGGTTTACCTCAGTTTAAGTTTGGGTTAACAACTTAACATTTGTTTTTTGTGTTATATCCGAATGAGTAATATTATAAGTCATATCTGATGTCTGCTTTTTCTGTGTTTGTGGCAGATCTACAAAGTCCATCTACAGAATGGGGTTCACCTGTGATCAGTGTGGAAAGACCTGCAGCCGTGCTTCGCACCTCAAAAGACACTACAGAACTCACACTGGAGAAAAAAAACATGTGTGTAATCTGTGTGGCTCAAGTTTTACCCAAGCAGATAGTCTCAAGCGCCACAGCAGAGTCCACACCGGAGAAATGCCCTTCAGCTGTGACTTCTGTGGTAAGAATTTTAGCCAAGAGGGTAATCTGAAAAGTCATCTGAGGATCCACACAGGAGAGAAACCATTTGAGTGCAACGAGTGTGATAAAACATTTAGAACCAAAGGGAAGCTCACGCTACATCAGCGTGTCCACACCGGAGAGAAACTTCATCAGTGTGACCAGTGTGAGAAGACTTTTACACGTGTTTATGATCTCACTGAGCACTACAGAGTTCATACTGGAGAAAAGCCATTCGTCTGTGGAGACTGTGGGAAGGAGTTTTCTCACGCTTCCGCCTACAAAAATCACCAAAGAATCCACACTGGAGAAAAGCCGTACAAGTGTGATGTTTGTCACCAGAGGTTTACTCGGGGTAATCACCTCAAACGTCATAAGATGATCCACACTGGAGAGAAACCATTTGTCTGTGAAAAGTGTGGGAAGTCTTTTAGACGAGGATCAAATCGTCGTAAACACATTGAAATCTGTAGAGAACCAGGTCAGAAGACGCAGTCTTTTGAACAAAGTGAAGGAGACAGAGCTGAGGCTGCATCATGTGAACCTAGAGCCAATACTCTACAGGATCACTCTTCAGTTTAACCGTGAAACTGGCAGCCTGCACGAGGCTCGTTCTGCTTTCTGTGTTGTTTATGTGATTAACTACATTTTTCAAAACTATTGTCAATAGAAAGTGAATTTGATATTGACATCTTCACTTAGAGTGTAGAGACTGGGACCTGTCATCAGTAAAACTCCATGATTTTCTGCTGCAGTGTTTTCAGACTGAGGTCACATTTCAGACTCACACCATGAGACCACGAGCTTCACAACTCCCACTGATGACTGCTGTCGTTGTGTCCTTGGGCAAGACACTTTTCCTGAAGCCCCCACTGAAAGTTCAAAGGCTCCTGCGGACTCACCACCTGCAGGAGGATCAGTGAGGGGCTGGTGCTATGTGTACAGGGTGCAGCTCTGACTGCCACCCCCTGACCCAGAAATGGATTAAGGGGAAGAAAATGGATGGATGGATGGACGATGAAGAGGACTCACATCAGTAAAGTCTGCTGTTTGGTGGCAGCTGTGCAGTAAGGCCTCATGTCTCGGGGAAGCTCTAAAGTCACACTGGTCTCCATGGTGATTACACTGGTGTGTTCTAATCTTGTTATTATTACAAGTCTGATACTTTGTTCTTTAGCTGCTGCTGCAGAAACTGAAGCCACATGTTTCTTTTTGAAGTTTTATGAATGAAATGTGGTTGATTCAGCTCCAATCAGCTGTTTGTGTGACCGCGTGTGTGTTCCTCTTGTATGTAGACGACAGCAGTGTTCTCCACAGGGGACACTCAAACAGTGTAATCACTCTTCTATCTCGCCCCTCACTTCTCTCTCACTACTTCCTATAATCTCCCCCCCCTCACTTCTCTCTTCTCTCATCAAATATGACACACTGGACACATATACAAATGTTTTCTTATGTTTGATTTTTTGACATGTTTTTAACTTGATGAGCCAAAGTAAATTGCTGGTTTATGACTTCCTGTTACAAAGGCAATAAAAATGTTTCTGATTCTATTGTCTGCAAAGTCTGGTCCTAACATAACAGGAAGCCCCGTTTCACCTGCTCCTCTCTGACGTCACACATCTAACTACAACACCCGCCCCCCGCGCTCGCTGATTGGTCAGATGGAATTCAACCGATTGTATTCGCTAACACAGGGACCAGACCCAGACGTTACATGCAGTGAAATTATGATTGAGCAGAGTGTACGGATGGCTATGGCCAGGCTAGATATATTCTGATTAGAAGGAAATCTTTCTCCTGTCGACATTGTCCTGAAAAAAGGTATTTTTTACTCCTAATGGATGATTACGGTAGTGTCCTTGATAGCTTTCACTCAGAAATGTGTTTTGCTCTACAGGAACCATATTTACAAGTGATCAGTGCTGTTCCACAAGCTCCTGTTTGTTTCTTTTAAGGCAGGGGGGGTCACGCTCATTTTGGTCAGGGCAGAATTTAAACAACAGTTCCCATAGGCCAAAAGTATAAAAGTGTTTAACGTTCATCTTTGATCTGTGGATATTTGTAAATGCAGTTTTTACTTTATGAAGGTATGATTTCATTATTTAATTATCCAGAGTTTAGATCATTTTTTTGTAGATTTTTCTGAACAAAACTAATCCAGTTTCCTTGTGTTTGGACTGAATCAACTGGGCTATTTTTTAAAACATCCAGAGCAATGACCAAAGAAAATAAGGATTAATAAAAACAAAATCAAGTACATAAAGACTGTTAATGTATGAGTTAATGTATTTGTATATATGTATGTATGATTATGCATGTCTGGAAGAAAAAACACTGTCTCCACGGATCCCTGTGCAGTGTTTTGGCTGACATTTTTTTATTTGCAAGTTTTTATTAATTTTTGTATTTTTTTTATTTAGTGTTTTGTGCGTGTCTTGCATAGTGCATTAAAAACATACAAGGCTTTATAGTAGTCCTGCCACTTTTCTCTTCCACCTTTGGCCTTGTCTCTTGTGTATGTTGTGTGTATTGTATATATGTGTTGAGCTTGTCCTTATGTTATGCGGAAAAAATCTGCGGCTCTGTGGAAGATGTGTGTGTGCGTGTGTGTGTGTGTGCGCGCATGCATGTGTGGCTGTTTTGTGTGTGTCTGTGTGTGCGTGCATGTGTGGCTGTTTTGTGTGTGTGTGTGCGCGTGCATGTGTGGCTGTTTTGTGTGTGTGCGTGCATGTGTGGCTGTTTTGTGTGTGTGTGTGTGTGCGTGCATGTGTGGCTGTTTTGTGTGTGTGTGTGTGTGTGTGTGCGTGCATGTGTGGCTGTTTTGTGTGTGTGTGTGCGCGCATGCATGTGTGGCTGTTTTGTGTGTGTACGTGCATATGTGGCTGTTTTGTGTGTGTGTGTGTGAGCGTGCATGTTTGGCTGTGGTGTGTTAGTTACAGTGGATCGTGGGGGACTTCCAAACACTAGTGATTAGTTTATGGTGATATTGAGGTAGTTGATGACAGGAGCCCAAGTTTCCTTGAAGGACAGTGCGTTATCATCCTGGTGGGTGAGGGAGTTGGTCCAGTGGTTGATATTGAGTGTTTAGTTTTACAGTTTTATGAGATTATCTTCTTGGCAAAAGCTAGAGATGTCAGAAGGCTTTTGGTGTTCCTGATGGGGAGAGTGGGACTCTGCAGCTCAGGATGTCAGAGTTTTTGACTGACTCTATACGTGTCTGTGCCTGGAGCCCATTGTGCATTGAGTGCATGTGCTTGTGTCTGTTAGTCCCATTTTATATTCTTTATATTCAGTTAAGTGCGTTCTATGAATAATCCTGTATTGTATCATCTGTAAATTTGTGTTTGGTGTCATGGAAAAGGTGTTGGTGCATATTTCTGTCCAGAGTTTGTGTGTGATTGGTGAATCCATGTCCAAGTTCCATTTTTCTATTGGGGTGTGTATTTTTTGGTCTATATTAAAGAATTTGTTAAGTTTGGATGTTCATTTTTTTCATTGTTTTAATGATTTTTATGTTTTCAATGTGTTGCGGTGCAGTTAGAGGGTTGTGCTGTATGTTAATCTTACCTTTGATTATGGTTTGGTCATAAATGTCTCATAAAAGTGTCATAAATGTGTTGTTGAATAAATGGCTGAGGTGGTTGATTCCTTTTTGTTAGAAAATGTCAAATAAGGCCGCACATCCCTGTAGTCTGGGCTAGCCTGCTGGATTAAAAAATGCAAGACGTAAAAACAGTGGAAAAAATCCGCACAGCTATGTAGCTCCGCACCCAAAATGTACACCTTTTTCTACGCAAGTTTCATACATGAGCCCAGTGAGTGTATTTTATTTACACACCAAACACACTAGTTTGGTGTGTAAATAAAATACACTGATTGGGAGCTGCATAGCTGTGCGGATTTTTTTCACTGTTTTTTTTTATTCCGTTTTGTTCCCATGTGTGGTAGTGCAGTGGTGTGTTATTTGTGTGAAAGTCAGGATTGTGCCAGAGAACAGTGTATTTGCAGTAATGAGATAGTGAATTTTAAAGTTTTCCACCAGGCTGTCAGAGTAGTTAAGATTAGGGCTGCACGACATATTGAAAGAAATATTGTTATCATGTGCATGCCTATCCATATCGAAAAGATGTGCAATTAAAAAAAATATATAGGGGGGGCGCTAGTGAGCGTAGCCATGTGAAGTTGTTTTTTTCCGAGCTCCTCCGCATGGTCTAGATTTTTACATTTTAATAACTCCAAAGTGGCCCCGAACCTACCCCAAAACTACCTAAGGTTGTAAGGACCAGAACCGATTCACATTTGGATTTCATCTACTCAAATTTCGGAAACGGTGGGTGGATCATGAGCAAAAACAGAGGCCAGAGAGACCAGGCCGCAAAAGCCCCGGATCCGCCTGCGGCTGCTGCTTCCCCGGACATGAATGTGCTAATGGAGGCTATTGCTAATTCAGAGAAGACAATACTGGAGCGAATTGATTCAAGCACGAAAGACCTGAACGACAAGATAGACACTATCAAAGAAGATATAGTGAAGCAGGACACCCGCTTGCAAGATGTCGAATCTGGTTTGAATGTCTACTCGGATCGCACAGAGCAATTGGAGGATGGTGTTAGCGTGCTGCGGGCGGAGGTAGCTCGGCTAGCTAACAAGCTAGATGACCTGGAGGGGCGTCAGCGCCGATGCAACGCACGCATCGTCGGGGTGAAAGAAGGCTTTGAAAACACCGGGAAGCCGACAGATGTTATTGCCACCATGTTAAAAGACGTACTGGGTCTCGGATTCACCCCTATGCTGGACCGAGCCCACCGCGGCCTGCAGCGACCGGCCCAAAATGGAGACCCTCCCAGAGTGATCGTGGTAAAATTTCATTACTTCCAGGAGAAAGCAGAAGTGTTTAAAACAGCCGCAAACTCATCGCCACTGAAACTACAGGGTCGGAGAATAAGCATTTTTCCTGACTACACGGCTGATGTGGCCAAAAAGAGAGCTGCTTTCAATGAGGCCAAGCAACTGCTCCGTAGCTGTGCTGGTGTCAAGTTCGGGGTTCTGTTCCCAGCGGTCCTACGAGTCACTTCAGCAACAGGGCAAGACAACCGGTTCACCGACCCATCGACGGAAATTGACTTTATCAAGAAGAACTTACAGCCATAAGGATTAATGGCACGCATATGTGCGAAGATAAAAGTGCTTGAATAAGACTGGAAGGTGAAGGGACATCATCCTACTGCATTGGACTCGGAGCAGAGTCTACATCATCCCTTTGCCTTACTTCCTATACCAAGGTATCGTTTGTTGTTATTAACGGGGACGTTGCGCCTTTTGTGAAGTTTATTTTTACACTAAGTTATGTTAAATACTGTTACCATTTATGATTCATTGACTGTCACTTTAACTGCTAATGTTGTACACATTTAGTGGACAACATTGGGGGGGGGAGTTGCTTTGGAGTTCGATTATATTTTTCATGTAAGAGGAGCTGTTAGGCAGCTATGACTAGTTACAGTGTGGTACTAGCTATGTGGGATGCGATCTCAGGGTTGTTCGTAGATGCATGGGGTTTTGAGGCTCTTTTTATTTTTTGGGTTTAATTGACAGGAGTGACACTTTTTTCAGATGTACACAAAACAGTAACCGTCTTCGCTTAGTAAGTTGGAACGTCAAAGGCATAAACAATCCGATTAAACGTACCAGAATTTTTACACATCTGAAATCTATTGGTCCTGATGTAATATACTTACAGGAAACGCACCTCAGATCAACCGAGCAGACCAAACTTAGGAAACCATGGATAGGGCAAATATTTAGCTCTAAATATGATGACAGAACACGGGGAACTGCTCAATATCAACCATTGCGGATAATCGGGGAAGGTATGTGATTGTGAAAGGCAGTGTGTATGGGAAACATGTTATTTTAGCCAATGTGTATGGGCCTAACTGGGATGACCCTGGCTTCTACTCATCTTTTATAGAAAAACTAACTGACCTAACAGAATGCCAACTAATATTAGGTGGAGACTTTAATTGTGTGCTCGACTCGCAGCTCGACAGGTCTAATCCAAGACCCAATAGTAAACTTTCAAAAGCTGGTAATGTTCTTAAAAACTTTATGGATTGTTATGCCCTATCAGACCCCTGGAGAAGCAAAAACCCTACAACCAAGCTGTTTTCTTTTTTCTCACCTGTACATCGTTCATATTCAAGGATCGATTTTTTTATTTTGGACAAGAGGATTTGCTCTAACGTGACAGACAGCCATTACAATGCAATAGTTATATCGGATCATAGTCCAGTGCAATTAGATATTGCCTTCCCGGAGTGCCCCAGACCTAGACGCACATGGCGGCTTGATCCTTCACTTTTGACTGCAGAGTCATTTAGAGAAAAGATTTCTAAGGAAATAGATAATTTTATTGAAATAAATCAGACTCCTGGAACTCAAATGAACCTTGTCTGGGAGGCACTGAAGGCCTATCTTAGGGGCCATATTATATCATACTCGGCATTCCAAAAAAAAATAAAAAATCAGAAATTAACTGAGCTGGCTGACCAAATAAAAGAGACTGACCAGCTTTATGCAGAGGCCCCGACAGCGGATCTATATAAAAATAAACTGCTATTAAGTACTGAATATGAGAATCTGTCAGTGTCACAAACTGAGCGCATGTTTTTTAAATCAAGACAAAAGCTCTATGAACATGGGGAAAGAGCAGGGAAACTTCTGGCACATCAAATTAAACAATCTGCAGCTGCCAACACTATATCCGAAATTCAGAAACCCACAGGAGAAAAAACAATGGACATCCATGCCATTAATGATCAGTTTAAACATTTCTATTCTAATCTTTACTCTTCAGAATCTGTCGATAAAAAAAAGCCTTACTCAATTCCTTGACAGTTTGCTCTTCCCACGGATATCTCCAGAAGACAGAACCCGAATTGATGAAGAGATTACGTTAGGTGAAGTTGTTCAGGCAATTAAATCAATGCAAAATAACAAGGCACCGGGACCTGACGGTTTTCCCATCGAAATTTACAAACTTTTTATAGATAAATTGGCACCAATACTCAAGGCTACGTACCACGAAGCACTCAAATTGGGAAGATTACCAATTACAATGACTCAAGCTATAATTTCGGTGCTGCACAAAAAGGACAAAGACCCCTTACAGTGCAGTTCATACAGGCCTGTGAGCCTTTTAAACTGTGATTATAAAATCCTCACAAAAATCCTAGCCAATAGAATTGACTCCACACTACCACAAATCATTGACACAGACCAAACCGGGTTTATTCCGGGAAGACAGTCGTACTACAACATGCGCCGTTTGCTGAATATTTTATATTCACCAGAATCTAACCAAACAAAAAGAAATAATACTTTCCTTGGACGCAGAAAAGGCCTTCGACCGCGTCGAATGGCCATACCTCTTTTCGGTCCTAAAGAAATTTGAGTTTGGTTCTACATTTCAAAAATGGATAGAGATATTGTACTGTTTTCCAGCTGCTGCGGTTCGGACAAACAATGTACTTTCAGATTTCTTTAAATTAGGCCGGGGATGTAGGCAGGGTTGTAGTCTTTCACCTTATCTTTTCGATTTAGCAATTGAACCGTTAGCTATAGCCCTCAGAATGGACAATCGGATAGCTGGGATTTCCAGGGGTGGAATCACACATAAAGTATCACTTTATGCGGACGATTTAATGCTTTATATTTCAGAGCCAGACATGTCTGTTCCAAGACTGCTTAAGTTGTTAGATAATTTTGGACATATATCGGGGTATAAATTAAATTATTCAAAAAGTGTATTATTCCCGATAAATAATAGTATTGATGACAGTTATTCTATATTTCCCTTCAAAGTAGAAAAGAAGACATTTAAATATTTAGGTATAAATGTAACGCACACAATAGATGAGTTACGTGCTCAGAATTTTGATATTTTGTTGGAACAAACATCACAGGATTTTAAAAAATGGGCAACATTACCAACCTCACTAGCAGGCAGAATAAACATTGTTAAAATGGCTATTTTGCCTAAGTTTCTTTATGTCTTCCAAATGATCCCCATTTTCATACCTAAGTCAATATTCAAAAATTTAGACAAAATAATTGCAGCATTTATCTGGAATAATTCAAATCCTAGAATGAAAAAGACCTATTTGGAAGTACCGAAAGAGGCAGGTGGACTTGGGCTTCCCAATTTTATTTTCTACTACTGGGCAGCTAATATTTCCAAAGTGTTACATTGGAAATATACATATGAAAATAATCAAGGGGAGGTCTGGGCTCGAATGGAATTGTCGTCTAATCCGTTACCTTTATTAACCGCCCAGCTATCCCAGGGTCAGAAACAACAACAGAATAATCCAGTTGTAAAATCATCTGTACGGATATGGCTTCAGTTTAGGAGACATTTTTCACTTCGGGAGGTTAGCCGATTTTTCCCTGTATCTTCCAACCCGTTCTTCTTACCCTCCATTTCAGACAAGGCATTCCAAAATTGGCACAATAGTGGGATCAAGTTTTTTCATGAACTTTTTACAGGCAACACATTTTGCGCTTTTGATGTTTTGACCAGGGATTACAATATTCCCACTTCACACTTGTTTAGGTATTTGCAAATACGCAGTTTCGCCAAGACGCTATATCCTTCATTTCCATATTTACCAGCTAAAACCTGGTTGACACCATCTTAGAGCTTGATCCTTTTGGTAAAAAACGGATATCTGCCTTATACAAACTGATGCAAAAAATTAGTCCAGTTCAATGGGAAAAGGCAAGACACTCCTGGGAAAGGGATTTTGAAGTTGACCTTTCTGACAAGGAGTGGAACTCCTGCCTGACCCGGATACATACCTCATCCTTCTGCATTCGCCATGGCCTAATTCAATTTAAAGTACTGCACCGGCTTCACTACACAAGGGAGAGACTGGCCAAAATGTATCCCGGGGTTGATCCAGCATGCCTCAGATGTGGCCATAGTCCTGCAACTGAGGGCCACATGATCTGGTCTTGCCCCTGCCTTGACAGCTATTGGTATAACATATTCCGAGTACTGTCTCACATCAGTGGACAGGACTTGACGCCAGATTTTCGGATTGCGGTTTTTGGAATAATGACCAAAGTTAGCAGGATTAATCGATTTCAGGAAAGCGCAATAGCATTCGCAACTCTAGTCGCACGCAGACTTATCCTATTTAACTGGAAGTCGGATACGGCTCCGTCATTTACACAATGGTTGAAGGAGGTGCTTTCCTTGTTACCCTTAGAAAAAATCAGGTACCGGGTATTGTCATCACAAGACAAGTTTACCACCACATGGACCCCGTTTCTAGATTTTGTAAAAACGTTTCCTTTTGATGTTTGATTTAAACAAATTATTTGAAACAATATGAAGACCAAATTAAATCCTGTCTGTTCCCCTTTTTTATTTTGTAGAAGAGCTGGGCTGGGGGGAGGGTTTTGTTTTTGTTTTTGTTTCATGAAAAGAAATATTGTATGCATCCATTTGTTTATATTTCTATATTTTGCTAAACTTATTTTGAATATCTCTCTGTTTTTACCTATGCAAAATCTATAAATAAAGTTGAAAAAAAAAAATATATATATATATATATATATATATATATATATATATATATATATATATATATATATATATATATATATATATATATTTGTATTTATTTTTTCCTTTATTAAAGACAACGAAACAGACAGACACAACATTCAACAAGAACAACAAACATACAAAAAAAGTATATATGCATTTGAATGTAATTAATGTTGTGCTTATTTTTTGTTTTTTGTCTCTTGCGATTCAAATTCTTTGTAGAAAGACACAAAAAATCTAAAATATCATTATCTAAATACTAAACACTCATATAAATATTGCTCTAATTTCCAATATTGTGCAGCTCTAGTTGAGATGATTAGATAATTAAATGATGTTTTTTAAGTGTGGTGGTCATTGCCGGTAAGTCTACCAGTTGGATGTTATGGAAAATAGATTGTTCTATTTGTGTCCTGCCATTATCCATGTTGCTAGGTATTGTAGTTTGTTTGCAAGCAAGTAGGCCTCCCTGTGGTTTGGGGTGTTGTAATGTTGAGGGTATGATGTTAGTTTTTTTGTGTTTCCAGTTACATTT